AGCTGGAGGTCATTCTAAATCTAGATTCAAGTTCACCAGAAGGCAAGTGGAAACTCTAAAGTCAACTAAAAGGAGATTCTTTGGTCTCATGAAACCAAAGCTGAGCTCTTTGGCCATAAGACGAGACGCTCTGTTTGGCAGACACCAAACACAAACGCATCACAAACATACCATCCCGACCGTGACGCATGGTGGTGGCAGCATCACGATGTGGGGATGCTGGTACGACCTGGATCAGTCTGCAAGAGAACTGCGACCTGGGAGAACATTTGTTTTCCAATAATACAATAAAGCCGGAAGTGGTTTTTTAAGACAACATAGTGAATGTTCAGGAGTGGCCGACTCAGAGTCCCGACTTCGAGCAAACTAAGAATTCACAGCTAGATTTGGAAAGTACTGTTTGTTGTGATTTTGCAAAGCAGAATGGGGTAAACCTGCAGTGTCTAGACGTGCAAGGTTGATTTAGAGCTATCCACGCTGGCTCAATGCTGCAATGTTGGCTAAAGGTGCTTCGACTAAATGCTGACCGCAAGGGGGTGAATTTGTGATCAATTGACATTACTTTGACATTAATCCTTTTTTTTTTTTTTTTACATTTTCGTCAAAAGAAGCCCAGTTACATTGACCATAATTCAATGTTGAAAAGCAGTTTAAAGGGCAAACGTCACTGTAAACCCCAATCATCATCCCTAACCTGCAGCATCCCTCCCTCCTCTCATGCCTTCAGGCCTCGGTGTCGCCCAGCACCCACACCCTGTCCAAGTGTTTCCTGCCGGAGGAGAGCACGGTGATCGGCGTGTACTGCTCGGCCGGCGCCTGCCTGCTGCTGCTGTTCCTGGCCCACTGTCTGTGGATGAAAGGTCTGCTGCAGTGCCTCAGCCTCTGCCTGCTGGGGAAGCACAAGTCCCTGTGAACTACATTACCCAGCGTGCACCACGTTCCAGGACTGAGCCACCGGAGCTGGTAATGTGAAGATTCCTCCCCCCTCCTCCCCCCTCGGTGAGCGTGCCAAAAATCTGTCCATGCAACCTCGATTTGTTCGTCCAAATGTTTTTTGCGGCACTGTGAAGGACATGAATATGTATTTTAAATGTCTTTAAAAAGGACTTAAAGTTTATTACTGCTGATGTTGAGGATGATAGTCGAGTTTGAGCCTCTGATAAGGACCAAATTGTTGTTACAAGTCATCAGCAAAGTTTGTTTGAACTTGTCAGACAGGTGGAAGACGAAGCATCAGGAAGTTTTCAATCACAGAAAAGTGTGACCGTGTGACCAAAGCGCACACACGTGGCATTAAGTAGGACAAATCAAACACGTATATATGTAAATACTAACTCTCTGATTTAAGATGGTGAAGTTAAGAGGTCCGTTGGTGCTTTCTGTCTCCCCCCTCTGATGTTAACTGTGACCCGACGTGATCATCTCACACCCAGCACTGTTCGTTTTCTGTCGTTGATGTCACGTCACCCATCCAGGTTCCTCGTCGTTTTTATGATGCATATCAGAAACAAATATTTATTGCTGACTTTCTGTGCCAAATGTTTGTGAGGGTTTTTGCCAAATTGTTGAGATGTTTCTGACGAACTGTACATAATAAATCAGAATCTTAAGGCCTGTCTTGGAGTTTTTCTGCACAAATCGATCGTCCGGAGTCGCATCACTCCACAAACCACATGTTCTGTGTTTGCAAAGCGACATGAAATTAAATATGAGTAGAAAGCATCAGGGAAGTCTGTTCAAAAAAGCATCTTTGAGTTGTTTTTAAGCTAAAAAAAAAAAAAAACACATTTTCATCAATCCACATCTTCTATAAGGCCGGATTTAAACATAAATGTGTACTGAAGTGATCTTAAGTATCCTGAGATGCCTTATTTAATCTCTAATAGTCTGTTGGACATATTTAGTTCCATTGCAAATCAATGATTAATGGGATTTTTTAAAATGATTTTTGCATCTATAAGATTTCTTTAGTTCTGTAACTAACAAATGTACTTATCGATTTATCTGCTCCCTACTTTTTAATTAATTTAATACCAGTTCAGTCTGTAAAACGCCAAAATATTGCAAAAGTGTCCCTCAAAACTTCTCAAGACGACATATTTAATTTTCTTTTTTTGAACAAACCCCAATGACACCTGATTTCTAACTTATCTGCACCAGAAAGAAGCTGCAGATCGTCACATTTGGGGAGCTGAGCAGCGATTTTAGCCCAACATTTGCTTTTAAGGATGAATCTTTTATCAGAATTCATGCAGTTTCCACTCAATTAATTATCTGGTTCGTTCATCAGAAAATTTCCAACGTAACCGCACAAGAATGTTTTCTTTGTGACCAGATATCAGTAAAGGAAATCACACTGTGAGAAGAGCAGGGATGTATCGCTGCATTATGGACTAAATTCATTACTGTTGTTTAAACATATTCCCTAATTTCTTATCACACCTCATTACATGTAAAATTGTACTCAATATTTCCTTTTTAAAGGTCTCCACCCAGAATGACACTGTCTATGGTCCGTATCACATACCGACTGCATACAGCATCTCCTACTGATTATAGTGAGCTGTTTCTATTATACAACAAAATGAACACTTTTCAGTTTTATACTAACTAAAAAAAAAAGATGCTTTAACTTCAAAACAACACAGCTGAGCAGAAAAAGGAGAAAAGCACAATGTTGTTCTCTAATTGGATCCTTTTCCTGTAAGGTCTTCAACTCTGAAAAAAAAAAAGTGTCTTGATCAGTATCTCTGGAGATGTTCTGACATCACAGCAGGAAAACACAGCCGCAGATATTAAATGATGCTTCAGCTTCATGTCATGGACTGCCGGGACTCTTTGGTAACTTCTCCTTTACCTTCTGCAAAAAAAGTGAAAATGTTTATATTTAGTGCGACAGAATTTGAATCATACTTTGGCTCTTCATAATCTTTCTGTGTCTTCTTGAAGTCAACTTGTGACGTGCAAAAGTTTAGTCAAAAACTGATGGTGACTGTACCAGGAATAAGGAGATGTATTATATTAAATACTCAGTGAGCTTTTGAATTGTCCCAAGGGGATAAAGTTATCTGAATTGAATTGAATATCTTCCACAGGGGAGCTATTTTTCAAATATAATTGCTATTTTTAAAAATTTTTTAGTGTCTCTGCACATCAACTTTTCATTCATTTTTCCTTTAAACTACACAAACACGTATTCAAAACATGAATCATGGCTCCGTTGTATTAAAAGTGTCCCAGTAAGTCCTGAAAGCAGCAATCATCAACTTAATCACAAGTGCACTTTTAAAAACTGTGACATGTTAAATGATCTTTAGTGAAATATCTCCGGCGTCCATTCGACCAGACCAACCGCGCTCATGTGCAGGGCCTTGAAATCCACATAAAACACACTGTGCATCACCATAACACCGCATTACACCCACAAGAAAGGACCTGAAACACAACAGAGATTCGGAGCGTTTCCCAGCATTCTCTGCGGTGGCGACAAATCTGGACACAACTGGACACCAAGATGGAAATAAAGCAAAGTCCTCTAATGTGCCTCTTTATTTAAAGAAAATAAAAATGTCATTTAATCATCCTCCCAGGCCAAACAAGGTTTTTGCACCTCCAGTCAGTTCACTCTCTTTTGGGGATAGACGTGTACTGTAGCAGAAGAAAAGGCTGATGCTGTTTGTACAAGGAGAAGAGCTTGTCTTGTTGGGTGCTGCTCACACATTCATAGTGCCTGTGCCATTGGGTATGGCTCCAAAGGACCAAAGAATTACTAATATTGCACGCTCTCATTTATTCATCTCCATTCTAAACATGCTTTCCTATGTGTGTATGTATACATATTTACCGTATACATACATAGGTATGTACACCTAGGCACACACATAATTAAACATGTATAATTGTACATATATATTTATATAGACCTATAAATTTACATGTACATACATTTATAAAATTTTACACACAACACGCACTTCGCCCTCACGCGCACACACACTCTCGCACGCACGCACGCATACACACAATGCGTCTGTGAGTCTATGTTTGTTTTATGTACACATGCGCACAGGCACGCACATCAGTACAGATCTCAGACACACTTCATATCGAAAAAACGTTGGTTCCTATTAAAACAACACCAGGTTGCAATTTGGACACTTTCAATGGATTTCCAATGTTTGTTTAAAGCTGTGAAATTCAAAATAATAATA